ATTTTCTTACATCTATTATAAGATGGGACTAAAAATTGATGTGATTATATTTATATATATTATGTGATTATAAAAGGAGTATTTTCTTATTTAAAAAATCGGAACTGAACTATAGTGTGACTAAAGAAGGGGAGTGATTATATAGGAGGTGACTATAGAGGAGGTCGACTGTATTATAAATAGTGTTACTACCTGAAACTAAAATTTTGTAATTTAGAATAACTGAAACTAGTTTAAATAAGTATTAAAACTAGTTTAGTTAATAGCTAAAATTACTGAAATTAATTTTATTTAACTAAAACTAATTTTTAGTAGTTTAGAATAATATTCTTAATTATAAATTATACTATTATAATTATACATAAAGTCGAAATAGATCATTTCGGATATCCGAAATGGTCGAAATGGTCGAAATGATATCATATCACGTGGAAGCATTTCTAGTAAAATCATATTACAGATCATATGATTTACTATGCTTCATAACTTGATTTTACTGAAAACGTTCTCACATATTTTTTATATATAAAAAAAACAAAAAAAAAACAAAAGATGTATGATCTCAGTCAATATCGCTTCAATTTGTATAAAACAACTACCATTCAATTTCTCGTGACTAGATGAATCCAATAAGCTAATATCTATTAATTTTAGATCATTCAATCTTGAGATAATTGCAATTGTATTATCAGCTGAAATTATAAATCATTAAATTCTACTTTAAAATAAAGGAGTCTGAATTTTGAAATTCAATCGCAAATATCTCAATATTGACTGATCTAAATCAATGTATGTTAACTCATTAGATTTGTCTAGTTGTAAGGAATCGAATAGTAGTTGTTTCATACAAATTAGAACGATATTGAATGAAATTGTATATCTTTTGTTTTTTTTTGTTTTTCTATATATAAAAAATCATGTGATATGATATCATTTTGACCATTTCAACTTTTCATTTTGACTTTGACTTTCAAAGTCAAAACATTTTGACTTTTGAGTTTTCATTTCAACTTCATGTATAGTTGTAACATAAAATTAATTGTTATATTATCATTAAGTATACTATTAGTAGTTATCATAGTAAAGTATAGTTTAATAATATAAAAGGCAGTCAGTAGAAAGGGGGAAATCCAAATTTTGGTCAAAATTTATATTATTGGACTACTTAGCTAATCTTGTTTATATATACAAAATTAGCTTAATAATTAAAATTAACAAAAATTTTGGATTTTTACCTTTTCTACTGATCACCTCCCATATAGTTATTTCAATAAATTCTGAAGTATTAAATGACTTTATATAAGTTTAATCAAGAAATTTATTATGAATAGATATTATTAACTATTTACTTACAGTATATATATATATTTATTTATTTATTAATTATAAAAAATATTTATAATTTTATAAACTTTATTATTAATAGAAGTACTAATAAAAAAGGGAAATTTTCTATTAAATCTTATATTAATTCAATAATATAACTTGAAATTTCAATATAAGTATAAGTATAGATATCTTATATTATATTAGAAGAATTGTATGATTTTTTATAGCTATAGATATTATGTAAATTGTTGTATTTGTAATATTTCATTTTAATAAAACCAATGAATACTTTGTAAATAGATATGCTTTTAAAATAAAAAATTTTTCTATTTTTTATGAAATATAACAATTTTTATAGTAATTTAATAAAACAAATCAACAATTTTTTTATCTATAAATATTTACGAATGATTATGTAACCTTTTGAATATATTTATTTTATAACTTATACAAATTTTATAATTTTTTGATAATATTCAATGATTTATATTTATATGTTATTGAAGTTTACTGTTGCTGTTGTATTATATTATTTTTTATATTTTGTAATATTTTGAAACCTTATATTATAAATATATATGTAATAAATAGATTATGGATTACACCAATTTATGATATAATATTATATAAATTTATATAATGTAAGTTTTATATAATATTACTATAAAAAATTTCTGATGATTGAGAATTAAACTTGAGTCTTTAAATTTTATAAACCAATTCCTAAACATAGGTTCCAAACCCAATTGGTTTATTATACATTAAAATATCTATCATCATTATCTGTTATCAGAATGGTAGTGAAGACAAAATAACCTTGTAGCTTATGCTATGAGAGCTACTATCACAATTTTTTTTAGCAAATCTTCTATATAATTTAATCAATTTATATAATTTGAAAATAATATAATAATTTTTTATAAATAAAAAATTAAATGCATAAATATTAAATATATAATATAAATATAAAGCGAAAACACAATAAGTATTATATTTATATATAAACCCACAATAAATTAAAATTTATTATTATGTAAAAAACAACTATCATGAATTTAATCAAAATATTTAAAAATATTATAGTAAAAATATCTATTATAGGTTGAAATTAACTTACCTTTTTATATTTTGTATTTAGACAAGAAATTATATAAGTCATGTATCCCCTATAAAGCTTAATATGCCCGTTATCATAACTTTTACTCAATCATTTAAAATCACATCCAAAATATTTTAACAATCAAACCCGAAAAGGAATAGCTTCATTCGTAATATAAAAATCAATGGATTTAAAGATTTTTTTCACAAAGGTTTGAAAGTTCATATAATAAAATGTTGTCGAAGTTATGTATAGCATATAAAAGTCATAAGGGACAAACTTTGAGAACCGGTATAAAAGCTGTAAATCCGACATTGGTATATCGTTAGTTAACTTTATATTAAAATATTAATGGTTAAAATTGATTCTTTAGCAAAAAACACTTTAAAATAATTACCATACTACAAAAGTTTATATAGTATTTGTTGAGTATGAATGCTTTGAGACAGTATTTCAATCCACAAGTCCAATAATTGATCTGTTTGTTCAACAGTCGAGGAAAATAGCTATTTTTTTTTTTTACGCGATTAATTATGATAATACGCGTAAAAATTTACAAAGACAATCTCTCTCGCTTATAACACGTGTCACAAATATGTTTAGGAGTTACCTGCAAATTAATCCTTGCTTGGTCCATGCCGTCATTAATTTTTTCAAACATTTTATTCATCTTTACTAAAGCTTCATATTCCCTTTCCAAGGGATTTTCCATCTTGGTTGGTGCTAATCTTCCACTGGGACTTGACATTTTGGACCAAGAGAAAAAAAAGCGAATTTGAAAAATGATGATCAATAATCGTGTATCGTGTGATAATCAATTTAACCAATTGACTAATTATAAATACTTTTATTCATGTCAAATTACCAAATTAGCAACTTTGCAGTTTGGAGTAGAAACGTATATCGCTTACTATTCTTGGCTTACTATGACAAAACTTCTAATAAGATAATGTCTTTCTTTTTTTTTTTCTTGGGCCTTGTTTTTGCGGTGTGACTATAATTGTTAGAAATTTATTATTAAAAAACGCGTCATTTTTCATATTTTTTTTATTATACTCCTTATTTTTTAAACAATAGAAAATTTACATAATTTATGATAATAAAAATGGGAAATTACGTTTTTTATATTATTAAATATTCCTATTTATAGAGAGCGAATCAACTTAGATAACATCCGTTTTCCATCTTGGGAACTGTCATTCGAATATGAATTTGGTAGTTAAAAATTTTCCATTCATTACAAAACTGTAACAAGTTATCTTACCAAATTTGTTTTACAATCAAATATTGTTTACTTACTGTTAAAAGTAGTAGTTTGGAACAAAAGGAAAAAAATTGATTTTTATTCTTGCTTGAAATAGAATATAAATCATTAAAACAATAATTATTTTTCTCGTAAATAATAATAATTATCCTACAAATTAATCTTTGGAAACTTTATTTGATAAAATTCTAAACCAAAAAAAAAAAATATTAGAAATCAATAAAAAAAAGGAATATCATTATCTACCATAGAAAGCAAAGAGTAACTGTTTCACCAAAACTATATAGCTAATGTAAGCAAAAGATAATTTTTACCACATGATATAATAATTATTCATCCTTTGTTTCCAAGTGGGAACAACATATCAGCAATTATTTGTTTCGGAGTTTGAGTGGTCTGCAAGAAAAAAGAATAATTGTAAAAAAAAAATTTTTCTTGAATTCAAACAAGTTTTTTTTATTTATTATTATGTATATAATGGGCGTTTTTTTTAAAAAAACTTTATATAATAAAAAAAGAATATTACACAAATAATGTATTTTGGAGTGTACAATGGAAAGTGATGCTTTATGAAGTCTAGATGCACTAATATATCAATCAATAAAACAAGGTTAATAATTCAATCTCAGTTTAAATTTCTTACATATTTCACCTTCTATGATATCTTCTCCTTATGTATAGAAATAATCAAAAGGAAATCCTGTTTCAATCAGTACCATTTGTCTCCATTTGATTTTTTCCATTGTCCAAATGCATTTCAAGTGTGAGTATTTTTTGTATTGGGACCCAGACTAGTTTAGTTTAACCTGTAAAAATCGGGGGGGTTACGGGGTTCCAATTCCGTACAAAATGTATAAACTCAGTTATAAACAAGACAATTGTGTACTTAGTTGTAATGTAATGATACATTAATGGTAACAGTTGGGTAACCGAGTTTAAATATATTGAGAGTTAATTAAGTTTAAGATTTATAGAATGGGAAATACCAAGAAAAAAACTATTTAGATCATAAATAAATTCTGCGGGAATCATCCTATGCCTTTCCGTAAATGGTAAAATTAATTTGATTCTAAAATACAGGATTTTCTTTGGGAGATTCCTGAATAAGCCCATTTTGCACTACCAAATTGCTACATTTAGGGGGAATGTACATGTACATACGTTGTCGGTGCGTTGTATAACACACTTTTTATAACGCCTTTTTCACCTGACTCAAAGACATGCAAACTAAACCTGAAGCAATAGATCTGCGGTCGCACGACAGATTTCTCTCTCACCAGATGTTATCAACAGTTGCGCCGCCAAAAAGCATTTACATATGATTAAGGCATGGCTTCTTAACGTTCACTTATTTTGAATGTTTCCTTTGTTCTTTTGTTTAGTTTAGATTACATACTTACTTTGGTTCGTTTTAATGCTGTCATGTTTATCGTTTTGTCATCGTCTATCGAACAACGTTTTTTCCTTTCATTACCTGGGATTCAAACCAAGGATGTTTATCTGAAGGCTATTCTTAAATTAGAAGATTCTTTATACTTGAATTCCTTTTTTCTTGAATTGTAATATTCGATTGTGATATTAACGTCGTACCAAGATAATTATTAACCTTTCAATCTGATGATGTTTATCATGGTGTTAATCAGAAATTATCTATTTTGTAATATCAATAATATTATTAATAATAATTATTATTATTTTATTATTATTATTATTATTATCTATCAACGCTTTATCTTTTACGTTACACGATGAAACAAGAATCAGAGCTTGTAGAAACATGGGGAGTCGGAAGTCGGAGAATCGTCGGGTGATACATACCAAATTGGGACTCATATCATTACTAATGAAACATTCACTTACCACAATTGGGGAAAAAGGTGTCACCAATTTCCCCATTTTGATTCACACTTGATATCTTTGTCGATTATCGTTTTAAAAGAAAATGGACTTCCACCAAAGATTTAAAATAGCCCTTTTGATAGACTTTTCTGGCGGAAATGGACGTGTGCAACATCACACCTTGTTTCTTTTTTGTATTAGGCGGAAAATTGCCCCGAATTCAGAAATGTTGTGGCGGTGTTACTTTATTAAGTTTTGTGCAATATTTTACATCTTTCGATGGTATCATAAATGTAACACATCATAAATAGAAAATGGGGCAGTGGCGTAGTTATTTAGACTATACTAAAAAAAAATGTTGTTTGTATTCTATTCCGGAAGAATAATTAAAAAAGAAAAATCTAATAATAAACTAATTCGGTAACTATCAACAACACCATTCAGTAACTAAAAAAAAAAAAATATGGTTTGTATTGAGGAGTTCCTTATTGTCTATAGTATATTTGAAATTCCTATTGTATGAGTATAAATATTTATACACTCAACTATTCAACTATCCATTTCTTTTTAATTTAATGTAGTATAAAATATATGATATATTATTTGTCTTTTTTTATTATATAGAGTTCATCTAATCCGGTTTTCCATGATTATTAAGTCTTAGCAACCCACTCTTTAAAGTATAATGGTCTTTTGAGTAAAAAAAAAAAAATAAAATAAAATAAATAAAAAAAAATATATTTTGACAGAACAGACCCTGACTGGATTTGGGATGTTATAAAAAAACCCAACATCCTTTTCCGTCCAATTTGTTGCCCCTTTGCCCCTTTTTTGTTCAAGCCAACTGTTTGGAACTTCATCAAAATTTTCATTTCTTCCATCAATTTTCTCTTCGCTTTTTTTTTTCTTATTTTATAAAACTCATTTTCCTCTAATAGCTTGTGACTCGGGAAAATCATAAATTTCTGCTAAAAGAAGTTATTCAAGAACGTGGACTTGAAAAGGTATTTGTCCGTTTATGTCCCAAAATAATTAGTTCATTTTTTTTTTATTGAAAGAAAAAAGAAAAAAAGGTCTTAAAGTAGAAGGATTTTGTATACGCATCCTTTTCGAGTTGTCATGAACTTTTTCAAACAATTCATCTCGATAAAATTCCATTTGACGCGCCAATTCGAAAGGAGTCAAATTCTTCTTCAGATAGTGAATTTCTTTGAACCTCATTCAACCCATCCATCCCCTCTTCTTTTTTTTTTCTGTTTATTCTTTTTCGTTCCTCTTTCCCTTGGACTTACCCTTATGTAACAAAAAATAATCCGTTTCACGCATAATTAACAATGCATCAAAAAATTCCTGATATATCGCGCGTGCTTTTTGAACAAATCCCACGCATACATATTATTCTCTTCTCTAAGGTATCTAATTACCTCACACATCTAATCAACCTTATTATCTAAACTTCCCTCCAAAATTCTTTTTTACATATGATTTACAAAACCCAAAATTCTTTTGACGTCGTGTCATTTTTCCTTTCCCCTTTAAATTCATTGGTCCTCGATTTGCATAAAATTTTGTATGAGGCGCAGCACATTACATTGCAGATTATTGACAATATTGGTCGTAAATACCGAATGTTGTACATCATGTACACATGATAATTCTCTCATTCTAGTTTTATCCATATATTATTATGGGATTCCGCTTTTCCATTAATTCTCGATTTATATAAAACGCCACTGCTCACCTCTGTTTATTTCCTTTTTTTTTCTCCAACCTTTTTTTTTTTGTAAAAAATATTTACACAAAAAAAATAGAACGCATACAAACTACGCAACTTTATCGTAATTATCCGAAAAAAGACTTTCCTCTTTTGTATTGAATGCACGCCACAGATATGAGTGGAATCGCCGGAAATTCACCAAATAGCCAACGAAAACAAAGCAACGCTTCTGGTCATAGCGTTGACTTATCTGAACAATCGACTCCTCGAGGAGCAAAACGAGAACATGACGATGATGATGATGAATCTGCAGAGGACGATACCGGAAGTAAAAATGAAAAACGTGCAGGACGTCGTAAGATAAAGATTGAATACATCGATGACAAAAGCAGGCGTCATATTACTTTCAGTAAGCGAAAGGCCGGTATAATGAAGAAGGTAAGGAAACCAAAAAAAAAAAAAAAAAAAAAAAAAAACCCCCTCAGAACAAAAAAAAAAAAATTTCAGGTTCTTTCCATTTTTGTCTGATAAATTAAAATTTTCCGTTTTTGTTCTACGAACCAAAATGGTTTATAAACAAATGAAAATCATCTCTTTTTACGAAATTAAATTAAATCTTACATAATAAGTTAAAAGATAATTATATATTGACTCGAGTTCTACTCCCTTCACAAAAATTATTTTAGGCATACGAGCTTAGTACTCTCACAGGAACCCAGGTCCTACTTCTTGTCGTTTCAGAGACTGGTCTCGTATATACGTTTACTACTCCAAAACTTCAACCACTTGTAACAAAACCCGAAGGAAAAAATTTGATTCAAGCCTGCTTGAATGCACCGGACGCTCCTTCGGCTCAAGATACAACAGCAACGGTAAATTTTAACTTGCCAGTTTTTACACCTTCATACCCCCTTTCGTTTCATCTTCATTTCTCGAAAACTCACGACAAATTGTTCTCTTTTTTAGACACGTTCTTCAAACAATAATCAATCATACGGAAGTGAAAGTACCACTCCAGTAGAAGGAAATAACAATGATGTCTATGAGAATGACCGCAAGGTAAACATGATAACTTTTTTGGCTTTCATCATTTGAAATTTATTTTTATAAATCGGATGTATAATTGTTTTCCTTCCATTTTTTAGCCCCAAGCAAGTGGCGGGCAAATGGCACAAGCTCAACCTTCATATGCAGCACTTGGGTTGAATCCCTACAATCAATATGGAGGAATTCCAAATAGCATGACCTTGGGCGGCGCTGGTGGGATTGCAGGGCCTCCATATATGTCAGGTGCAGCCGGATATCCACAATATGGTCAAAACCATATGAACCAATATGCGACAAATAACGCTTACATGCAAACTGCAAACTACTGGGGACAGCCTGCTGGTAATGCAACTAATACAAATGGTACCGGAAAGGTGCCGCAATATTCAAATCAAATTAACCAATCACCAGAAAAGAAGAATTAGAAAATGGAAATTATTTTTTAAAAAAAAAAAATAAAAAAAAAAATAAAGGATTCAGCCATTTTGTATTTTGTCCATATTATAATTTTGTATAGCATTCATAATATATATATATTTCTTTTCGGATCAATTCGGCTGGTCTTTTCACAACACATTTTTTTTTAAAGTTCGAACAAAAAATTTTCTTACTTTCATATATGAATTATTTTTCATTTGATATGACACTTTATAAAGTATATGAAAGTAGAAAGTAGAAGTTCATGATTTTAAGTAACTTTCGCATTGTACTATTTTTTCTCCCCTCCTTTCCCCCCTTCCCCTTCCCCTTCCCCTTCCCCTTCCATAACTTTTTTTTCCTATCAAATGAAAGACAATGCTATTAAAAAAATTCCTCACATTATATATATAGTAAATAGTTTTTCTTTCCTTGATAAGGTTGTTAATAATATTTTTCGCCTTTTTTTTTATATTTTTTCATTTTTATTCTTTATTTTTGTATTTTTTTTTTTTTTTCCCTTAAAAAACAACTCTCGCGAGTTATTTAAAAAAGTTAATTATAGCCGAAGTTGATTGAGAAATCCTTTTGACAAGGAAGAAAGAAGTTAAACTGAATGATTTTTTTTACGTTGATAAATATTTTAGGTGTAGTATTTTTTGATTTGAATTATATATATATATATATTTTACCTTTAGTTTATTATATTAGTTTTAACTTTGATGTTAGTTTCAAAGAATTTCTTTTTAAGTTGCCTCTTTTTTTTTTGTAGTTGTTAAAAAAAAATATATACAAATATAAATATATAAATATATATACACTTTATTTCTTTTTGTTTGTTTTTTTTTTGTTTATATTAAATTTTTTTTTTAAAAAAAAAAAAAAAAAAAAAAAAAAAAATATCAATTGCGATTTTTTTATTTAAAAAAAAATATTAATGTGATTCGCGACAATAATATATATGCGATCAAAACAACTATTAAAGATCTATGATCATAAAAACCTGTAAAAGCAAATTCATTTTAACCGCCAAAAAAAGAAAGAAAAATTAATAAAAATTAATCTGTCCAAAAAAGAAGAAAATTCATCTGATTTATCCAAATTTATAAACAATGTAATTTGATTCCTAATTTTGCTGAAGATTTGATCAATATTTCTATAAGGAGAATTTTTAATGCCAACCATGTACATAAGCCTAAATTGTTATTGTTATCATGATAAATTAATTAAGTTCATCGTAATCGGTAATTAATTAAGTAATTAAGGGTACTATTATTGCTATTATTGCTATGCCGATTGCTATATTATTTGTGGGTTGTAATTAAAATCAAATCATTATATAGTGCACCGAAATTAGTAATCGCTGATTGTGGGAAAAAAAAAAGCTGAAAGAATATAAATAGAAAGTACAATAATCGGGTTCATATAATAAATAATTGTAATACATATCTAATATATGTACCTACCAATAGTTTATATAAAAATACCAAAGAAAAATATGTACATATATTTTATTATTATTATTATTATTATTGTCCAAAACTTTTTTCCGTTATTTGAAAATTATATATAAAATTAATGTAATATTATCATAACAACTACTATAAAGCACATACGTTGACTTTAATTAATTTCCACCCAATAAGATTTGCAGTTCTTCCAACCGAGCTTCTCGCACTTTCGCAGCATCTTGTCTCCTCTGTTCTCCGAAGGCCTGAGATACCAATACACGCTTTTTTTCTTGAAGTTCAATCACACGATCTTCAATCGTATTCTCAATCACAAATCTAAAGATCGAAACAGGTCGTGTTTGACCTAATCGATAGATTCGGTCGACTGCTTGATCCTCAATGCTCGGATTCCACCAAGGGTCCATTAGAAAACATTGATTCGCTGCAGTCAAGTTCAATCCAAGACATCCACATTTCAAACTAATAAGAAAGACTTTAACTTGTGGATCGTAAGAGAAATCATTAATCGACTTTTCGCGTTTGTTGCGCGACATACTACCGTCCAAACGGACAAATTTAATATTGGCCTCTTTAAAAGCGATTTCAATCAAATTAAGAAAGGATGTCCATTGACTGAAGACCACCGATTTAGTTGTAGGATCTTTTTCATTCGATATCTTAAGAAATTCCAATAAATCTTTAATTTTTGAGCTTGGTTTATAATCCGAAGTGATTATGTCTCCAAGCTCCTCATCTCGTTCGGGAGGTGGGTCAATCAATTGATCCTTTTGAACCGGACTACGACACATTGGACAAGAATGTTTGTCTTTATCAATAACTTTCTCGATACAATCTCTATCAAACACGTGTTTACAATGCGTGATTACAGGAGTGGTCAGTGGTTCCAAGCAGATGCAGCAATCTTCATTATTTTCAATAATAACTCTCAAAGTGTTCACTAATGACTTGATATTATCATCACTCATATCAAAAATATTAACATGAGCTTCCATAATCTCTTTCACTCGTTCTGCACAAAGTTTATGATGGTTGCAGATTTGTCTCAATCTCATAAGTATTTCCAGGATTGTGGCGTAATTATCCTTAGAATTCTTTGATTCTCTCCATTTCTTAAAGAGTATCTTTGCTTCTTTTTCCACCTCATCATAAATCTTCTTCTCTTCAAAGTTGAACTTGACTTTGTGAACAAAGGAATTAACGGGAGGAAGGGACAATATCGAACGACCATTGAATTGCATATCCTTTGTTCGTCGAAGACAAACAATTTTCATCAAGACCTTAAGTCTTTCAATGGCTTCTGTTTCTCCAGCCTTTATCGGTCTGTTAAATACACGATTCCACCATTCTATTTCATTAAAGGGAGCAATTCTTAAAAATTTTATTAATGAATACATATCATTCAATTCATTCATAATCGGTGTCCCGGTGAGAATCCATCTCCTTTCTGCATTCAAATGATACGCAGCAATACTTTGTTTGGTCGATTTGGTGCGAATTATATGTCCTTCATCTAAGATGACTCGAAGCCATTTAACAGCAAATAACCCTCTTTTTTCATTCTTTATATCCGCCTGTCCAAGTATAGCATAAGTGGTAATCACTACATCGTAGTTTTGAAGGAATTGAGGATTTTCGTCTCGATTAGGACCATGAAAAACGTAATAAGATAGTGAACCTTCCTTGACGTGCATATTAATTTGGTCAACCCAATTTCCAAGTATACTCAAAGTAACGACGATCAGAGTAGTTTTGGAATAAGTTGGATTCGAATTGACAGGATTGGAAATAAATCCTTTGCCATCTTTATTAGACGCGATTAAAGCAATCGTTTGCAAAGTCTTTCCAAGACCCATATCATCGGCAAGGATTCCACCTCTAGCGAAATTAGGACAAGATTTGGTCGAAAATCCGGTAGCTACATTATAATAATATTCTTCACCATTTTGTTTACGAACGACCCAGAATTGCGTCGCTATATCAGAGGTTGGATTCGCGGGATGCTCGTTGGATAACATCCAACCAAGTCCTTGTCTTTGATATGAAAGTAATGGTGTGATCAAAGCTTCTGGCTGTGGGGCCTCCGGAAGCCTTGCCAAATCAATAATAGATATTCCAACTTCTTGGAGAATTTTTTTGGTGCTCCTTTTATCAAGGGTTTGTCCTTGCCTTACTAATTCACGCCATGCTTCATTTGCCTCAGGAGCTTTTCGACCCTTTCCTTTTGCTTGAGACGTAGGTTGAAGTGATTCAAAGTTAAATCCTTTCGCTCTTAAAATTCTTGTGGTAAGATCTTCCCGTTCTTGTATTCCAAAAATATGAACAAGAAGAGGAATGGTGTAAACTCCTTTATTGCCAAGAATTGTACCTTCGATTCGAATACTTCCATTATCAATTAATGGCGCAAGTGCCGAAGCCGCATCTCGAGGTATATGACCAACTTGAACTCCGAGAGTATTATCAACGCGCAGCGCATTTCGATCATAAGCATTACGTGGTTCACGTATAATAGAAACTGATTCATTTTTATTTACAACGCCATCATAATATCTTACACCTACAATTTTGGTTTTGATAATACCGTATAATTTTTGGACAGCACCCACATCATCTACGGGATCTGATTCATTTTCCAATTCTTGTTCATCACAAAGTTCCTGATCAAACGCGTCCAAATCAAGAGAAAATGGCACAATTGTGGCGCGTTGAAAAATTTGAGGATGTGTCGATGAAGAAGAATTTGAAACTGCGGATATATTCCCTTGTTGCACTTCTGGAGAAACACGTTCAGTAGACATGTGTTGAGGTTGATAAACCGAAGAAGGAACGAAACCCGAACCAGTTGAGGTTGAAGAGGTAGCTGGATCCTTTTTAAGTCTTTTTTTTGATGGAGCATTTCGTTCATTGCTAGGTGAATCATTGCGTTTTGTAGAAATTTCCTTATCTTCTTCATTTAAGTCGTAAGTTTGACCCTGTGAAGTTCCAGTAATTGATTTTTTTTGTTTACCCCTGCGTTCTACTTTATCATCAATGACGTGAATAGGACAATCATTCGATGCATGAGATTTATCACCACAATTCTCGCAAGAAACAGCGGTTTTTTTGTTACGTAATTTTGGTGGCATCCTTGTTTTTCACTATGAAGGCCTTTATAGAATTATTAAAAAGTTTAGAAAGTTAAAATATTAATATCGCGTAAAAAAAAAAAAAAATAAAGTAAGAAATTTTTTACAAGTTGTATCCAACGAAAAAATGATTCAAATTTTTATAAAGGCACGTGTATTAATAATATGATAACACGTGTCTAAGTCACGAGTAATTTACGCAAATAAAAATAATGAATCGCCAGTGATTTGACTAATAAAAACGTATAAAAAAAATGTCCGATAAAAACATTTGGGTTGCAGCTGGTATGCTCAATAACAATAATGTAATATTAAAAAAACAATTCATTTATTCGCAATTCTAATTCATTCATTAATTTATATAGCTGATGGTGACATACAACGCGTTACGGTAAATTCAATTATATTTAATCTCTTGAATATGAATGCATTATATTTTTTTTTTATTTTTATTTTTTTTAAAAAAAACACATCTTTAGGAACTTTTAATAAGCGGAGTATCACCAAATTCTAAAGACACTAATGGATACACCCCATTAACGGCAGCGACATCATATAATCATATTGAATTAATTGAATTCCTAATATCGCAAGGAGCAGATGTGAATATTCGTGATCATGATGGAGATACTCCTTTATTCGTCGCAGAAAATATAAAAATAGCTCAAAAATTACTTGATCACGATGCAGATCCATTCATTAGAAATTCGGAAGGAAAAACCGTAAGTTCTTATTCGTCTCAATGAGCAAAAATTTCAAACAAAATGTAACTAAAATTTATATTAATTTTCATAGCCTGCACAAGTAGCTTATGAAGAAGGATGGCTGGATGTAGCCGAGCTGTATCGTTCTAAAACTGGAGAACCGATACCAGATTTGAATTCTTTGTAATCGAGCACAAATTATTTGTAATATTCTATAAAATCATGCTTTAAAATTTATACACATTAATAAAATAATAAAATGATAAAATGTGTTACATTGGATCAAATGGAACATCGCGTATTAACAGAGGTTATTGTTTATTTTTGTAAAAGTTCGATGAATCTGTCACTACTATTTTCATTGTTTAACTAAATTTCTTCTAAATTTGAAATTTCCAAATTGTTTCATAAATTCTTTCCCATATTCCAAATCCGAGAAGATTAGTTCATCATTTTCGAATAATTTGCCAAATCCAAATAATTCTTTATAAAAAGTTGGTGATTACCTTTTTGCAAATAAGAAATACAGAGAGAATACGTAATACTTGCCTTCCTCGGTCATAAATTCTCTATCTTGTAAATCATTATCATTGAAATTCTTTATAGTGGATTCTTCATAAATGATATTTTCAAACTCATACGCGTCAAAGTTAGGTGGGTGTTTGAAAAACTCGAAATCAATTTTAAGGTCTTCGTCATCCGGCTCAAATGGTGGCTCTTTATTAAAGTTAAATTGGTTAATTATATAAATTTTTTCCCTCCTACGCGTAACTTATCAAACATTGACAAGAACCTTCCATAGGTGGAGGACAATATTCAATGTCAGGAAAACAATCATGTTGTACTCTCTTATCCTTCACTTTCTTCCTTTCTACTTTCTTTTTTTCAGATTGGGTTTCCTTGTTTATTTTCGAAGTTGGTATTTTATTAGTAAGGTCCCTTAAAGCATTAACATTTGGCGTTTTCGAACGTAACATTTTTATTTTTCAATTATTACTTAAAGTACAAGGCACGCGTATTCTTTATGAGTTTTATCCTATCGCGTATGTACGAGAATTCACAAATTTTGCGTGGGAGATTTATTGCCTTAAAAGGGAATCTGCCGGAAAAAAATCAATTTTAGGCAGTTATTGCATATGTTGAATCACTTTCTCAAACTGCAATTATACTTGTTGTCCAAACCAAAACCTTTGGGATTTGTCCAATGGAAAATATGGATCTTGATGGACTTGTGGTATGCTTCTTGATAGACATTTCTGAGACTCAAATTTGGTAGTCATTTTTGTGTTAATTTAATTAATAAAGAACATTTCGATAATAAGTTTTAAATAATTAACGTGTTCCTTATGCGCAAATAATATAAATACGCGAGAAGGTTTTTTTTTTAAAAAAAAAAATCCTTCATATGTACCTAAGTTTGTATTACGTTATTGATCTATCAAGAAGTATATTTGAATTTCACAAAAATGTCTATCAAGAAATATACCGAATTTGGGTTTCTATCAAGAAGCGACCACAAGTCCATCAAGATCAATACTTTTATCAAAAAAAAATGAGTAATGCTCTGATTTCTTTCACTAATTTTAGGATATTTAATCCATATGGATTGAATTTTCGGATTGAAATTCAGAACTATTTTATTGCAATTACCATTATTTTTTTATATAAATATTTATTTATTTTAGATTTGTATTATACTTTTATTTGAAAAAAAAAAATTAAAAAAATAATAAAATAAAAGTGGTAAAAATTACGGTGTTAATTACATATTTATCCTTATAATATAAACTTGATAAAAACTCTCTCCCCTATTTTACAAAACCAAAATTTTCATACGAAAAATAAAAAATTTAAAAGTTCGTTTTTAACAAAAAATTAATTAATAAACCCAGTATAAAGAAGGTTTCTTTTGT